GTACTGATAACTTGGTCAATGAATGTATTGAAATATGAAATGCCTTTGCCAGGCATTGTAAAAAAGATATCCGCTGTTCCATTGGGTCCAGTCATTTGTCTTATTCCGCCATCAAATTCGTTAAATTGATTTCGATATACCGTATAAACAAGAACAGCACCGAAAAATGCGCCTAAAATTTGCCCAACGACGTAAAATAAACATTGAATTGGTTTCATCTTCTTGATGGTTAACAATGAAATGCTCACAGCCGGATTTAAATGTGCACCTAAAACAACTCGAGTTGATTCTGATAACGAGAAAAGATTTCGATTTTACCACTAATTGAACCAGCGATCATCAGAGCTAAAACAAAGAAATGAAATAAATTTTATTCGCAGTTTCATATTAACCTGAATAAACTCCCACAGCAAAGGAAAGACTAATTGGAAGCGTCGAATGAGTTGGTTGACGAGCAAATTTATAATTAGCAATTCCACCTTCGCCAATGAGAATCAGAATACAAGTAGCAAAGCATTCAGCCACGAATTTGACGAAATAATCTTGAAAATCTTTTTTTGTTAGTTTCACCATTCCTTCTTCGTCGAAGATTTATTTGAAAATAAACTTTATTCGATCGATATTCTTTGTTTAATTCAAATGATGATTCACATTTAGATTTGGAAAACGAAACATGAATGACATCTATAGTAAACAAACTTTTCTCCCCGATTTTTATTCACTACGAAAAAGATATGTCGATACGAACAATTGAACATCTCTCCAACGAAATCTTCGAGTATTTAGATGCTTATTCGATTTTTCAATCTTAATCATCGTTTTCAATCACTTCTTAATTCTTCATTTACACGATTAAAAGTAGATGATAATCGTCATCAAATCATATCGATTCATTCATTCAATGAAAATACACCTGAAATCATTTCAACAATCCAGTCTCACTTGTCATCTTTTCAATCCCTTCAATCACTTATTCTTTATTCTATTAAATCAGATCATTTATCATCACTTATTCAAGAGTTAACTTATTTACCTAATTTCTTTTCCTTAACCATTGATTTGTGGATTGAAAAACAAAATCATGTCGATATTTATCAGTCAATTTTCAATTTATCCAAATTAAAATATCTCAAATATCGAACAATGGATACCAACGATGTTGATATTGATATTTTCTTGACCAGAGGCAACTGATCAACAAAAAACATCGATCGAAGATTTCATTATGGATCATGCCTGTTCTATTAAGCATCTCTTTACTCTATTATCATATACACCGAAAGTACGCCATTTGAAATTCTTAAATCCAATTGATCCAGAGAATTTCAACACGATTGAACAACCGATCCAATTAAAGAACTTAACAAAACTTTCAATGGACATTTACCGAATGACATTTGATGAATTTGAACAGTTTATGAAGAAATTCGCATCCAATTTAACAAATTTATCATTAAATATCCAACATGAAGATATATGTCATATCTCAATGCTAAACGATGGGAAAATTTCCTTCGAGCAAATTTACCACAATTGGACAAGTTTTACTTGAAAAAAACTGTTCATTTTGCTGATGATTATCCCACACCGATGTATCTTGGAGAACGAAATGAATTTAGTTCCACATATTGGCTGGAAAAACGGTGGATATTCAAAGTTGAAAATGATTTCGAAAATTTAATCTCTTCAATTAAACCATATAAGTAAAAATGACAAAATAGAAATCTTCGTCATTTAATTGACATTTCGTTTTAGAAAAAACTGGTTTGAATACAATTCGAAATACAGGATTTATCACTTGAAAAATGGGTCAAAACAACCACAATTAATGAACATATTCTTCATGCATTATCTGTTACACAAATTTATCATTTAGAAATCTCATTGGCCATTTCTTTCGAAGATTTACATCGAATTTTGCTTCTTTTACCGGATATTGAAACGTTATCATTGTTTCGATTAGAATTTCTCGATCCGCAATACATTTCTGATGAAGAAATTCAACAATTATGTTCATTATTACATTGAGATCGCTTGAAAAAGCTTTCTTTCAATGATATTCATCAAAGGGCAGATCTTCATCTTCATTGCAAAGATTGTCAACATGCCGAATCACTTGTTGGACTTATTTTAACTCAAATTCAATCAAAAGCGGAGGATAAACTACGGTTATTTTCATTCGCGATGCCAAAGATTAACAATAATATGGATGAATATTTAACAAAATTCATCAGAGAAAATCAATTACTTGATGATTTTACTGTTGAACAGATTAAAAATGATGTTTACATCAAATGGACATCGTTTTAGTTGTTAGAAGATTAGATTTGATATTTGAAATAAACTGTTTAGTATGAGTAGAAAAAGAAGATTTCTGCTTTCGATTGATTATTTGAAATCCATTCTGCTCCCGGGAGAAGGCTGACACACCTAAAATAAAAGTCTCGGTATGGTTGACTGATACATCAGAAGCATTGTCAGCATTAATCTGTATAGATTTGATACGTAAACTATAGAATTGAATGAGAGTATCATTTCGTCGATGTGGATCACCTTGAAATGTCATAAGCAGAACAATACGGTCTGAATCGATTGATTTATTCATCGATTTTTATCTTCCCATTGTTGTTCACTCTCAATTAGTTCTTTTTTTTTGTTTTCATTTTTCAAAAATAATCGTTACACGAACATTTTCCAGTGAGATCAAAATGATGAATACGATTTGCATCGTGAATAACAATGGAACATTGGTGAATTTGAGCTATTAGTTTGATTGCTGTATCTAAATAAATTCAATGACAATAACATACGACAATTTTGACATATTCGAAGATTTTTTTACGATTTCAATGAAAGACGGTTTAGGATTTTGAATCAATTGAAAAGCAATAGCAAGTCTTTCCGAATGTGTCCATAGAACAGATTCATTCGCGTAAAAATGCTTGAATAAAACACATTCTGATTACAAATCTTACCACAATTTCGCCATTGGCAACTGTCGATGATCGTCCAGGCACTTTCTTCAATCCAGATTCCGCCATTCTTGTTCGAAGATCTGATGTCCGTGCTAAATTTCCACTGAATCCATAGGTATTTGCTAAAACAACTGTTGCTGAGGAAAGAATCTGTTTTTCATCCGAAAATAATAGACGAATCCGATCGAATAGTTGTTGAGCTAAGACGGCATCTTTTTTATTTCTGGCGCTTGATAACATTGTCACTAAATGAATGAAGTTAAGTCAGATTTGATTGAATTAATCTGCAATAGTTACTGTATTGAAATGAACGAGCAAAACAATCAATCTATTTTCCAAAATTAGTTTCAATTGACGAAAAACATGTTTCTTCTCCTAACCATACTGGTATAGACACTTTCAATTCGTTTCTCATAAGGAATTTCATTGAAAATGTTTTCCGCTTCTTGAATTAAACCTGAATGAGAACATGCATTTAATACACAAACATAAATCTGATCATCCAGCATTTTCATTGGTACTTGATGAAATAATTCAATTGCTTCTTTTCCTTTTCCATTCAAACCATACGCATTGAAGTAACAACATTATTTTATCAAATTATGGAAATCTTACTCATAGCTGAAAAAGCGACGATACTTGGTTGACCAATTCGATTGAAAACTCGTTGTGCTTCATCCACTAAACCACATTTTCCCTAAATGTCATTTCATTCTTTCTCTCCATCAGGCTTTGAACAATAACTTACCCACATATCTATCAGTGATCAGCAAGGAAATTTAGTGGAATTTGTTTCACAATCGATTGAGACAAAGACAAAAAACGAATATTTGCACAAACCTTGATTAATAATATAAAAACAATTGAATCGCCTTGAATATTTTCATTTTTCATTCTTTGAAATAATTTCAAAGTTTACTCATATTGATTTTGATCATTGTACAATTTCATTAACTCGTTTTATCTTTTCAAAAAGAATTTCAACTTTGAATTGATTGAAGAAGACAATCAGATGAAGAACGAAGTCGAGAAAAGACCTTTTCTGCTGAATCCAACGCCTTTTTGTCGTTTAGTTGAGCACATGCATTGAAAAATATTCCCGTCACTATTTCATCAGGTTTATCAAGATGAAAAAAGAGATCAATTGCTTTTTGTGCCATTCCATTTGAAAGATATCCTTGAAGAAAAACGAAAATAGAGAATTATGATCAAAAGCACATCATTACTGTATAAATCACATTATTCTTTTCCATTTGAGAAAAAAAACTTTTCCCAATTGGAGATTTGTTCATGTTTAATGATTAAATTTAAGAATGCAAATGAAACATAGGGATTCTTTTGATTATCAATTGACATTTTCTTCCAAATTGTTTTACAAAATTGCAATACATTATGATCAGATGATTGAGTACAAAGTTGAAACAACAGAGTATAAGTAAAGACACATCCTTCTTTTTCTCGATTATTCTTTCCAAAACCTACAAATCAGATTCAATCATCTGATTTCATAACAAATATACAATTGATATTACCTTCGATCATTGTATTGTTCATTAGATCGAAAAAGAACATCAGAATTCTTTCAATCAACTTGCTTTTACTATATAAACGAATGAGAGTTGTGCGAATGTATTCATTGTTAAGGAAATTTGGAGGTAATTCTTGATGAATAGCTTTTCCCCGTTGAAAATCATTCAGATGAATGCAAGCACGAAGAGCTTGATCAAGAACTAGAGAAGTTCTTTTTTTTGTAGACCAAGATCAATAAATGTGGAATATAAACGAGTGAATCGAAAAAATTGCATCTAAATACGAATGATTGTAATGAGAAAATCTTTGGCTTTGTTGTTTTGTAATCTATATGAACAAAATTCTCTAATTTGATTAAAATTTGAACTTTAAAGCATAAAAAACAACAGTAGAGATCGAACTACTTTTATTTTATTGACATAGAAGAGAGAGATACTTACCAAAGGAACCATTGTTCAATCATTAACTGCTTAGAAGATTTACTAAAAATCCAAAAAGAATGTAGAAGGACCAATTCGAGAACGACATCTGTAGATCAATCATTCTCAGTATACTTTCTCTCAGATGATTTATCCGTCAGAAAAAGGAAGATCACATTGTAAATGTTCTCTTTGTTAGTCAAATCTATTTTTGTAATCAAAATAATGTGAATCTCTTAAAGAAACATTTTTTCTGTTCTATACTTTTATCGATAATAAATGACGAAGAGAAAAAAAGCCATGTGTTGATTTTGTTTTCTCTCTCTCTCTCCCTCTTTTATCAAATCTCTTTCGTTCTGTTCGTTAACACCATCGAGTAGAAAAGAAAACGTGTCATATCTGAAACTACAAAAATAACTGCAGTCTAAGCTTACGAGTGATTTTCCTTTACGTATTTTCTTTTAGCGTTTCTTCATTTCGTTGTTAAATTTCAGAGTTTTTTTTTGGAAGATTTCATTTGATTATCGATCGATTGTTTCCCAACAATGGCGAAAGCCAAGTAAGAATCAAAGAATGTTCTCACGTGGCAACAGCATGTGACCAACGTCAATTAATTGACATCTCGAAATTAGTAAAGTTAATGCAAATTTTACGATTTGACTCGATAGTTTCTACAAAAAACGACTTATGGAAAGTTCAACTGACGAACAAATTTTCGAGAAGGAACTTTTTCCTTCTGTCCTTGTTGACCTTTTCTCTGTTGTAGATAAAGTCGAGTTCAAAGACAAAATGGTCTTTGCACATGTGACCGCATTTTTCGTGGATAAATTTTTAGGAAATTATATCGAAGATATCGATTCTCATCAATTAAAAATCAGCTTATGGAGCGGTTAGTTTTCCTTTTTCTTTTTTTTCATTTCAAATTACTTGAATTGTTTCATTTAGGAGACGTTACATTGGAAAATGTTCATTTAAAAAGCAACGCTTTGGTAAAGTCAATCTTTGAATTCGTCCAAAATGCACTTCTTTCATATTTGAATAGAATGATTTAAATCTTCCATTTGAAATTCACACGGGTTTTCTCGGTAAGTGAACAAAAAGAATCTTTGTTATTTGACTTTTTCTTTCTTTGAAAAGAAAAATTACAAGTTCATTTACCATGGAAACATCTGTACACTCATCCGACGAAGATTCATATCAATGGATTTTATTTGGTTTTAAAACCGAAAACAGGTTGAGAAATGGATTTCGAAAAGGTTTTTTCTTCATTCGATTTGTTTGTTATTCGTAGATGTTCATTATGATCCGGAACAAAGTGAACAACGAGAATATGAAAATAAAATGAAAGAAGTGGAAAAAGTCGAAGAATTTCGTCGTCAAAGAGAAAAATACGGTTCGAAGAAAGAAATTCTCGCATTTGTTTTGTATTTAATTTTGTTTCTTTTAGCAAATAATGACAAAGGTCTTCATCATAAAGATACATTTGTTGAACGATTACAATTTCATATTCTTCGAAATCTTGAAATTACCGTTGAAAATATTCACATCACATTTGATGATCAAACAACAAAATCTTATTCATTTCAATTTGGATTAACTCTCAATTATTTGAAACTTTATGTAAAATTTCTCTTTTTTATCCGAGAAATTTGTTTCATGAAGACTTTTTTAGACAACGAATGAACAATGGGAAGAAATGGAATCGAAAGAAGAATCGAAGATTATTTATAAATTTGGTGAAATCAATCAATTGTCCATCTATTGGAATTCAAATGTTCAATCGAGATTAAATTTAACAAAAGAACAAATTATCGTAAAAAAATGCAAAAGATAAAGAATTTCATTGAAAATTCTCTTTAGGATGATCTCAAATCAACAAATCATTTGAATTATCCAAAAATGAATTACAGTTCGTATCATTTCCTTGATGAGATTGAAGAAAATCGTTTTTCTTTTCAGTTCTTCAACCATTGAATTGTCAATCGAAGTTCCAAATACGAAAAAGTGCTCAAGAACAAGATTTTCAACAACCAGTTCTCAATACTTCGATCATTTTCGATGAAATTTATCTAAACATCAACAAAAATCAATATTCCGATCTTCTCGATCTACTCGAATACACCGATTATCTGAATATGAAATCGAAATTTCTCAAGTATGATCGTTTCAATGAGGAAAAAGCAAGTCGAAGACGATGGAAATTCGCGTATACAGTTCTTCTTCATGAATCCATTCGACCACGTTTAGCGTCGTTCAAATGGGAAAATATGAAAGAAAATCTGAAACGTTACAAAGAATATCACGAAATTTATTTCAAAAAATTAATTCATCACGCGAATAAATCCGATCAACAACAAATTATCGTGAGAAAATTCCAAAGAATTTTCAGTTGAAAATCATTCGTCATTTAGGATTTGGAAAAACAAATCGATATTTTCAATTTAATTTACATTCGTCGAACTGCACAAATCGAAGTAAAATCCAAAGGAAAAAATTCGCAAAAATTGTTTTTTCTCTTTTAGTACAAAAAGAAAAAACTCGAAGAAAAAGATTTGTCATGGTGGGACAAACTGTCGAATTGGTGGAGTTCAGATTCAGATAATCCAGGTGGGATCATTTTCTTCGAGATAAAAGAAAATCATGTCGATCGTTTTAGAATTTCAATTAAATGATACTTTAGTCAATGAAGAAAGAAATAAACTTTACGACGCCATCGGATACAAAGATCAACAAGAAGATCAAATTGCTTATCCAAACAACGTTCGTTGATCTCAATTTCCATCGAAATTCATTTGATTTTCATGTTCAATTTTAGTATATCGATATAATTGGTTCATTGAAATTAAATTTAATTCGAATCAATGTCTGGTCATTTCTCAATCAAAATGATTCAAAGTAAATCAAAATGAAAATCTTGGAAATGAAAAGAATTTTCTTTTAGTTTGAATTTAATCACAACATTATCGATTAAACAAAGTCAAGTGGAATATCAACGACGACCAGCCAAAGATGATTTTATGTAAATAAAAAGACAATTTTTCGATGAAAAAAAGATTTTATTTTGATTTCAAGGATTTTATTCGATTGTCAATCATTGAAAATTGTTGGAATAAACGAATCAATTCGTCCAATTTTAATTGAAAAATTTCATTCGAATTCAACAAATTTTTTACATTTGGAATTTGAAAGTCATCCCGTTGAAACAAATGTTGATTATCGAATTTATGGTTTATCTCAATCGTTAATTGTCAATTATCATTATGAAACAATGAATCAATTATTTCGATGTTTTCTTCCCGATCGTCATCACGATTTACAAGGGTTTGATACGAAAAGTTCTTTCCTCAAAGATTTCTTTGTCGATATTTTAGAATCAAAGAAGCGGCATATTCGATTTATACCGATATTAAACATCAAACACAATTCCTTTTAAGTGAAAATCTGAAGAAAATTCAAGATTTAGATATCAATTTCGATCTACAGTCGATTTATTTCATCATCTCTGAATATCAATCGAAATCACAATTCAGTTCTTCTCCAACATCACCGATGATTTGTTTGGATTCGGGTCATTTGACATTCAAAGGTGGAAAAGTGAACATTTTCGATATCGAAGAAGATTATTCAACTTTTGTTCCAATTGAAATTCAATTGAAGAAAACTCAATTTCTTTATCTAAATCAAGGTGAAATCAACAAAGGAAAGATTTTCATTTGGAAATTTCTTTCATTTCAGATGAATCGTGGAAAGAATTGATCACAAAATCTGATTCGAAAGCACATTTAATCAAACCGATCACAATTACATTGGATATTCTCAAATCAATTCAAATCGACAATTTCGATATTCCAATGTAAATTTTCATTTGAAAAGACGAGTTTTATGAGAAAGATTTGTATTTTAGTTGGAAAATGTCTGGTGAAATCAACGCCATCGAATGTGAATTAAGTGAAACGCGATTGTTTGGTTTATTAAAATTAATTCAAATGATTCCTTTTCCCGATTCATTTCAAAATAATCAACCAAAAGAAGAGAAAGAACGAAAAAAGATCGAAAGTACAAAGAAAAAGTATGAAACAGTGGAAGATATGACACCAGTGAAGAAGATTTTACATGAAGAACAACAAGATTTAGAAAAACAAATTGAAATCAATGAAAATCATTCGCAAAAACAACGAAAACAATTACAATTTCATTTTCTTTTATCCAAAATCAATGTGAAAATTCGTCGTTGTCTCTTAGAAATGTCCGATTTAACTGAAGATTTTCTTTGTTTATCATTGGAAACAATTGAAGTTGAAGCGATGATGAAAACTTATGATATTCAATTGAATTTCTCTTTGGAAGATTTTCAAATAATTCATTATGAATTTGAAACAAAAATCAATGAGAAATTAAATCTTTTTTCACGAAAAACCAATTCGAAATTATTGATAATTCGATGTTTATTAACATCAAATTCGAATCCATTATTTGCAAGTGAACCTTATTTTTCAATTGAAAATCAAATATCCATTGAAATCAATCCTTTACAAATTTATTTTCATCTTCAAGCGTTTTCATCAATGATTTCCTTTCAAAATCAACTTCAACACAAATTATCACAAATTCCCAAACGAAAACCAATGAATTCATCATCAACAACAACTTCATCATCATCAAATCAGAACAAATCTTCATTTGAAATTCATTTTCATATCAAACAGATTTGTTTATTAATTGGAAGTGAATCAATTCATTTGATTTATTTTGAGTTAAAAGAATTTCAAGGAAAATTTTCAAAAACAAATGTGAAAATGTTATTGAATTTAACTTTAAATGATCTTCGTCTCATTGATTTATTTGATAAATCTCGTTATCAATTCATTTTATCGAAAGAAAATCTCGAGAAAAATCTTCTGGAAATCGATTTATCAATTTTCAATTCTGCAAACAAATCGATCAAATCTTTTACAAAACACCAATCGTATTTCAAAGGTTTTATTCAGAAATTAAATTTCATTTTTCTTTACAAATATCTTCAATTGATTCAATCGTTATCAAATGTCTTTCAAAGTGAAGGAAAAGAAGAAACGATAAATGAAGAATCGTCCGATGAACCGAATGAAATATTTCAAATTCTCAACAAATATCAAAAACATTCGATTAAATTCGATGCGGATTTTGTTTTTCATGCGCCGAATGTTCTCATACCGAGAAATTCTTATTCCAATCAAGGAATTTGCATTGATCTCGGCAAATTCTCCATGAAAACCGATTCGAATGGCAAATCGAATGAACAATATCGAATCTTATTCGAGAATTTCTCCATTTCTCGATTTTGTGTCAACGATGAAAATCTTTTCACAAATCAAATCGAATTATTTCAATGTTCAACATTCCAAACTTTGATTCAACGAAATTTCAATGAAAATAACGAAATTGTCATTAAAATCCAATGGGATCATTTACAATTTCATTTCGATAAAAACGATTTTGGAACAATTCAATGTATTCTCAATGAAAATTTCAAAGAGAAAATCTTTTTTCAATTTCCAACTCTCGAATCGTATTCGGAGAATGAAGATCAACTTCCTATTGTCGTCGAAACTCCGAAAAGACAAATAAAAGAGAAAGAAACTTCTCCGAAATTGAAATTAATATTCGAAATGAAAGAAATTGGTTTAATTTTATATTCAACGGAGACAAATATCGAAAATTCGACTCGAGATGAAAATTCGAAATTTCTCTCATTTTCAATGAAATTTATCGAAATGAACATCGAATATTTCTCAAATTCCAATCTCAATGGACTTTGTCAAATTCAACAAATGACTTTAGATGATTTTCAAAACAAATCAATTTCACGTCTCATTGACAAATCTTTGAATTCCAATGAAAAACAATCTTTATTGAACATCGAAATTCAATTCAATCAAACAAATCATCTCAGTAAGACAAATCGATTTTCTCTTCAAATCAAAAATCTTCTTTCTCATTTCAGTTAAAAGTCAAATGGAAAGTTTTTACATCTGCATAACACCTGATTTATTGAATTCAATCAAAGATTTTCTCAATTATAATTTACCATTGAAACAAAATCCTCGAAGAACACAAAATCCAATTGTATTAGATGTTCCTCTACCCGCAAAACATTGTCCAGGTCGTTTAACTATCAAATCAGCAGAAAAACAAAAGAAAAAGTCGATCATCACCTCTCAAGGTATTCTCCTCAATTGAGAGAAGATGAAATTGATATTTTTGTATTTGATTTAGTTTCGAAAACAAGTTCCTCGATTGAAATGATTATTGAATTTGAATTAAAACCAAGTGAAATTATTTTACTTGAAGATCAAAATAAATCTGATAGTGATTGTTTGGTTTTGAAATTGGATTTATCAATGAGAATGATCAATGTTAATGATCAAACGAAACTTGCAGCACAAATCAAAGATTTATCATTTTTTGGAACAAATTTTCAAGATTTAAAACAATCGAAAATTCGTTATACAGTAAAAGTCTTCTCTCTTTTTTTTTATCAACAATGATTGAATTTGTTTTTGATAAAAAGGTTTTATCTCAAACACAAATCAATTTGATTATGTTAATGAGAACAAATGAACAAAAAATCGATTTGAATTTAAGTGATTTATCCATTAGTATTGATCCAACATTGATCAAAACATTTGTGACATTGGCAAATTCGATTCAAACAATCGATAAAAAACCCAAAGAAGACAAAGAGAAAATCAATTCCAAGACGATTTTCATTCCAAAACCATTTAAAGATTCATCATTTTGGTTTATTCAAGGTCAGTTCATCATCTTTTCCTTTCAATTCTCATCGAAATTTTCTTTCTTTATCGAAAAGATTCTGAAGAGAAAGAAGAAATTCTCGATGAAACAGATCTTTTACAAGTGACAACAGGAACAACATCAGAGAAAACAAAACAAATTCAAGAAAAAGAGAAACAAAAACAAATAGAAAAAAATGAAAATTTATCCCAAGAAGTTCGTTTCGTTTGGATTTTTTCATTTGAAAATATTTGATAAAACTTCGATTGATTTTAGTTAATTATCAATTTGAATATAATCGAAGTAAAACTTGAATTAGGAAAAGGTTCATCAACACGACCAGTCGTCGCTCTTTGTTTATCAAATATTTTCGCACAAATTCACAATTGGTCAACTGATGTTCGTTCTCTTCTTTGTTTTTTCTTTCTTTATTTTCCTCGGTGTTTTCTTCAGTTACTCGTTTCCGCGTCTGTTCAATGGGAATTGGCTTTGTTCAATGATCATATTTTAGCATGGGAACCTTTAATTGAACCGATTATCGATGATAAAGGAATTATTCAATCACCATGGACAATCTCTTGTGAAACACATCAAGTAAGGCGAAGATCAAAGATGTTAATGGAGGATTTTCGTTGATTTTTTAGGATTTGAAAGATGAAAATGAAGTCGAAGTAAGAAGAAATTTGTTTGTATTGTTCTCATTGAAATTGAATTGATTTTAGAATCGATATTTACTTGAAGATGAAAAAGATTCGAATGTAAAAGAAAATCGAAATGAAAGTGAAATGAAAAAATTGATTTCAATTCGAGCTGAATATTTATTAAATGTCACATTAACAAAAACAACTCTCGATCTTTTCCAACGAATTTCGACAATGTTCAATGAACTTTATGAAAAGAATCTTCCTTCCGATATCGATGAACAACAAACAATGTTAATTATTCAAAATCAAACTGGTTTTGATATCACAATTTATGATATTCGAGGAATTCAAGTAAATCTTTTATTGAAAATCTTTCTCTTCGAAGACATTTCGATTTTTAGTTTCAAAAAGACAAAGAACCGGTTGATAAATTAATTCATTTAAAACAAAATCAATCAATTGAATTAACTGTTCCTGAAGAACGTTTATCTGCAACACATTTACCTGCGATTGCTGAACAAGTTTCGAAACGAAAACAAGAATTTCAAGTAAAATTCGGTGAAATTGATGTTTTAGTTGATATTAATCAAACATGGAGAAGAGTTTATGATTATTCCGAATCACTTGTTCCTTCATGGCCAATTCAATTACTTTGTGATTCACAAATTTATGAAGAAAGACGAAGAATTGTTCTCAGTTCAATTATTAAAATCTCAAATCGAACACAAATGCCTTTAATTCTATTAGACGCAGATTCGATTGAGAAAAATCAATTGAATTCAATTACGAAAATCGATGTTAATCAAGAATATTATCTTCCCATTCAAATTCTTTATCAAAGAGTCACACCGAGACTTTATTTTACCATTGATCAGTGAGAATTCTTTTCATTTTTCATTGAAATTGATTTTTTTTCTCTAGAGGAGATTCAGCAAATGGATTCAATGATTTTATTTCATTTGATTGGGCAAATGAATCTTCAAGTGATCGAATTGTAAAATTAAAAGATGGAAGACAAGCTCATTATGTTGTTTATAAAGAAGAAATCGAAGCTTATTCAGAAAATACCGATGAACCAAATCGAAAAACATTTCATATTTATGTTAAATTAGCTCTTCATTTATTAAATCTTTTACCAATTCCAATTGTTTGTTCAATCGATGTGAGTCATTTGATATTTGATTCAATTTTCATTTGAATGTGTTTAGAATGTTGAACAATGTGAATTAAAACCAAGTGAATTATATCATAGTATTCAAGGACATAAGAAATCCAATTTAATCTTTAAAATTCCTTCGTATAATCAATCTTCATGGATTTCTGAAGCAATTAATTTAAATGAGAAAGGACATGGAATTCATAATGAATTTATCGTTAAATTTACAAATTTATCAACTGGTGATGATTTGGTAAAGATGATTGTCTTGAGAGAAGATCTCCATGTCAAATGTATTTTATTTTGTAGAGAATGATTTTACGTGTTGATACATATCGTCAATCATATCGTGCATCATTTTATTCACCTTATTGGATTATCAATGGAACTGATTTAAAATTTCAATTTAAAATTGATAATGAAAAAAGTTTCGTCGATGTTGTTGATCAACCTTATTTCATTTGTCCAAAGAAATATCATAGTGAATCAAATAAAAAGAAAGGACATATTCGTTTATTTAGTATTGAAGATGATGAAAGTATTTCTCAATGGTCCGAAGCATTTTCACTTGATGTTATTAAAAGTACAGGAATGGCGACATGTTCAGTGAAAAATGATCGAGATTATCTCATTTGTATTGATATTGTTACTTCATCATTTGGTATGACGAAAATTATCACATTAATTCCATCAACTGCGATTGTGAATAATTCTTCATCACAAATTCAAATAGCCGAATATTCAAAAGAAAATCTTCAATGGAAATCAATTGAATCGAAGGAAATGATTTCCTATTGGCCACGTTTTATCGAAGAAGGTTTAATGTTCGTTCGTTATGAATCAAATGAACGAGGAAGTTTAGTTTCAATCAAAGATAAACATCGAACTTTATTACATATGAATGATGAAGAACGACCTGCACTTCATGTTGAAGTTGTTTCAACGGATTTCGATGGATTTCGAATTATTTTTGGTGATTATCAAAATGGAGATGCAGCTGTTCTCATTGTCAATACACTTTTAAATCAACCGATTTCATTTCAACAAAAAGATCATCTGTAAGTCTTTTCAAAAGAATTTCGTTGTATTTCAATCGTTTCTCTTGGAAGACAAACTCAAGTTTTACCAGCACAATATTATGTTTATTATACGTGGAATGATCCATTTAAACCAAAACAATTGGATATTTCCATTGGACAATTCACAGCAACACTTGAACTCAATGTAAATAAGAGATTTGAATGAAAAAAGAATCATTTGATATCTTTTAGCCAATGTGTGGAAGTCTTGGAAAAGAAGAAAATGAAAAGATCTATTATGCAACATTTCATGATGGTCCACAAACAGTTTTGATCTTCTCAATTGATCAATCAGTTATTGAATCTGTATCCGATGTAAGTTGATTTCATTGTTCTCGATGATTACAAATGTCCTTTGATTTGGAAGATGCCTTCGTTAAGTGAAAAAATGAAAGATTATATTGAAATCAGTTTTCATTCGATTGGTTTATCAATTATTGATGATATAAATCGAACGGATTTATTTTATGTAACAATCAATCCAACAAAAGAAATTTGGACAGAAAAACGAAAGATTTCTTCTCAACCACTTTCAATTAAATTAAATGAACATTTAGATCAACATTATAAAACATTTTCCAAATCAAATCAACAAACTGAAAATCAATTCGAAATTGAGAAAAATCGAGTAAAAACCTCTTTTTTCTCCTTTCCCAAACAAAATTTCTCTCGTTCGTTTCAAAGTACGTGACATTCAATGATGATGAATCAGCTGAAATCACCGATGATGAAGGACATCGTGTTATTGTTCATCGTGAATGTCTTCCTGGAGTTTGGTTTGGTTATTCATGGTCATTTAGTAACATGGCCATTCATCTGAAAGTCAATCATATTCAAATTGATAATCAATTACAAATTGCGATGTTTCCAACAATTCTTTATCCAATTGTTTCTAAAGCAGCTGGAAATGATATTCGTGAGTGAAGAAACTTTCCCCTCTCTTCTTCTTCTTCTCAATGTTGAATATTTTTGTGTTTAGCTGGAAAACCTTTTGTTGAATTGAGTGTATTGAAAAGTGAATCAACACGATCAAATACAATTCATATCAAGTAATTTTCATCAACGAATCTTTCTTTTTTCTTTCAATTTTCTCTTGAAAAGATATTTTAAATTATTAATTCAAGAATTTGCTATTGCTGCTGATCAGGGTTTAATTATGGCATTGATTCAATTTGTTAAACCAGAAAAGGTCTGATGAAAAAACACAAACTTTGTTTTCATTTGTAAATGTATTTGATTTGTTAAAAAGAATGAAGCAGCACCAACAGTAAATATGGAAAGTGATTTGAAACGAATTGAAAGACCATTAGCAATTTTATCAAATGAAGGAACAGATAATACTTCACAAGAAACGAAGATTTATTTTAATGATCTTCATTTATCACCATTAAAAGTAAATTTTTCTCAAGAATTCTCTTTCGAAATAAATCTATTTTCTTTCTAAAGATTCATGTGAGTTTCTCGATGAGAGGATCAAAAGCAGATCAATTATTATTAGCAGAATATCCATTGGCGGATTTTCTTTTACAACTTTTCAATTTAGCTGAAGTTCAAGATGTGATTTTGAAGTAAAAACAGAGAAATTCTTCGTTTTGTTTTTCATGTTTATCCTCAATTTAGATTGAATTATTATGAAAAGAAGGATGATCGATATTCAGTAACAAAATTAACCAAAGAAATCACATCACATTATCAAAATCAATTTTTAAAACAACTTCATGTTGTTGTTCTCGGTTTAGATGTTCTCGGAAATCCTTTTGGATTAATTCGAGGAGTTGCTGGTGGTGTCGAATCATTCTTCTACGAACCTTACAAAGTCAGATTTTCTCTTCTGTTCTTGGAATGTTCACTTTCCTTCTGTTTACAGGGAGCAATGGAAGGACCAGTCGAATTTCTTGAAGGAATTGCCACGGGAACAAAATATTTTGTTGGTTCGGTTATCGGTGGTGCAGCTGGAGCGTTATCGAAAGTGACTGAAGCGACAAGTAAAGGTTTAGCAACAGCTACTTTAGATAAAGATTATCAAAATGCAAGAATTCAAAGAAAAGAAATTCAAGCTGAAGTACAACCAGAAATTGTTTCAAGTGGAAAAAATGCACTTAAAGTTTGATCGATTTTCTTTCTTTTCTTTTTGATCTTCTTATTTCAATGAATAGGATGTAATTAAAGGTGTGAAAGGTGTAGTAAAAAAACCAATAAAAGGTGCAAAACAAGGTGGAGCACAGGGATTTATGAAAGGTTTAGGAAAAGGTTTTCTTGGTCTTGTTGGAAGACCGGCAAGTGGAGTAGCAGATTTAACAAGTACTTCATTTAAACTTATTAAAAAGTATATCGAATTAATTGAAATATTTTGAGAAGAAAAAAAAAGACCGATTTTGTTTTCTAAAGAGTTGCAACACATGAAATTATTATTCATCGTATTCGACATCCAAGACATATTGGAAGAGATGGAATTGTTCGACCTTCAATTGCACATGAAACACTTGGAAAATTCATTTATGATGTTCGTCTTCTGTCAATCGTTTTGTTTATTAGAATTTCTTTATTTTAGAAATTTGATGAATCTCTTCATGGAGAAAATGAAGGTTATATTGCACATATTGAATCATCAATTACTCCACCTTCTTTATTATTTGCAACGACAAAGTAAAATCTTTTCAATTCAAGAGAAAAATTCTTTTTTTGACATTTGTATTTTTAGACAAGTGATTTTCTTAGTTGAAGATCCTTCATCAGAAGGAATTTTTAAAGTTGAATGGACTCTCAATTATAAAGATATTAAAGGAGATCCAACTGTGAAATTTAATCCAAATTATATTGAATTTATTATCAAAGTAATTCTCTTTGGATAAAAATTCATTTGATTTTCTTGTTTTTTTTTTTGTAAAAGGAAACAAATGCAATTGGAATAACAAAGAAAGATATAATACATGCTCGAGTCATTCCTTATCAAACCGTTGCTGAAGCACGAGTATGTTTTCTCTTCTCTTCTTTCTCTTACGACTAGAATTCTTTCCTTTTTTAGTTTATTGTTGATAAAATTATTGAAACTACGAAAGCTTTAGAAGTTTAATTCGTTTTCAACTCTGTTTTTTTTATTGTTAGTCAAGCGATAGATTATTCACGGATTTTATTTCAAATAAAAACAAAGAATGTTTTTTATCTATAAAAGTATTTGATCAAAACGAACATCACCCTTTATTTATCATCGCGATTGTATATCGTAGAGTTGATGTTATCTTGAATTTGTTCATTGAAAAAATGTTTTCTTGTATAACGCCATGCTCTTTCATAGAAAATCTTTCCTCTTTCATCGAGTGTTAACAAACGAACAGGTCGACGACGCATAAACTGCATTCGATTCAATCTATTACAACATATCCAATTAAGAAACCGACAAATTTGCAAACGTAAAATTTCAGCATCAGATAAAAAATTATAAAGCATTTGATTTCTCCAAAGTGTACCTTCATCCATTAATGTTGGAATTTCACCAACGGCAAGACCTATGAAAGAAGTTTATAAGAAGAAGTTTAGTCGAAAAGAACTCTTACCAATCATAAGATTGATAATAAAAATACAAAAAACAATCGCTGTTAAGATCATTATCACATAAACGAGTTTGTAAAAAGCTATTTGATCTGGTTCATTGTAAAGTCGATCTTCATAACCAAGATCGAACATCATTAAACTGGTTCGTATCAGAGCTTCAATCGGTGTACCATAAACAGGTTGATTTTGTAATAACATCCAATAAGTAAAACCAAATCCACAAATAATTATCATTAATACAGGTAAAAAACGAAGAAATTTCACACTTATGACTTGAAACATGGCAATATAAATACCAACACCAAACCAAGGAATGCAACGGACATAAGTTAAAAGATTTATCCAAGAAAGAAGAAGACCCATTGCTCCAATTTGATATTGAAGAGGACATCGAAAGATAATTGAGTTTTGCCAATCATACCAATCGACAATATAAATAAAAGAAAGTGTAAGAGCAGCAGCTTCAACATAATGAGCTCCAGTGCGGAAAACTTTTGGAAAAAGAGCGATAATTAAAATACCATTTTTTAGAATAAAACAGACAAAACAAGCATAGAGAGCAAATTTAAGTCGAATGTAATCAGTTGTCTTCAACACTTCCTGATTATTTTGTAAAATAAGTTTCTTCGCAACTTGTTCACATGTATCAATATCCATTGTCATATTATAACCAGCTAAACTATAGAAATATTGTGGATGTTTTCCACGAAGTATAACAGATGTCCAAATACCAAGTAAAATAATATAACTGGCAAATGAAAATAATAACCAATATCTACTAAATCGTTGGAACATTTTTTTACGTAATTTAAGATGAAATGGATCTGCGAGTAAATCCGGATATTTCGATTGTTGTGAAACAATAAATAATGGATGATTTCGAACTAATGTATAAGAATCCTTTGTATATGGTTTATGTATATGATCTTCACTTTGAACAGATGAATTACAACAATGAGTATCACAAACACAACCAAAAATAAAATTAACACCAAGTTTATGACATTGAGCTTTACATGATGTATCTTCAGGTGGTAATTTTGCACCTATGTATATTCAAATAAATAAATTTATGTAGAAGAAAATCTTTTCAAATTTTACCTTGTGAATACCATTGTTTGATCATATACATATCTTCATAAAATTCATAATCATAAATCTTTTTTGATACAGTTTGATCTGTTCCACCAATATTTTGTGTTAATTTTGTTCTTATCATCCATAAAGCTATTTTCGGCGTATATCGAATTAATTTTCTCATTGGTGTATCATATGCATCTGTTCCTTGAATTGGTTGTGCATTATGCATCATTTCTCGCCAATTTGGACATTCAAATAAATATTTTATTAAATCTTCATCTTTATTTTCGATACAAATTTCTAAAGCATTGTATAATTTTGCATTGCGTAATGTCGTTGAAGCCTTATTTTCTATAAGATATTCAACTATGGAACGATTTCCATATTCACAAGCAAGATGAAGAGGTGTACGTCGACGATCGCCAATGACATCAACATCAATACGTACAGTTTTAATTAAATATTCAAGTACTTTATGTTCTTTATCATTTCCATTCATAGCCGCTAAATGTAAACAAGTAAATCCGTTTTTATCATGCATAAATACACTTTTCATTTGATTCTTTTTCTCGTTAGGAATGACTTCATACATCTGCTTGATAATATCCAAATGTCCTCGTCGACTTGCTTCATGAGCAACTGTTCTACCTTGATGATTTTTTTTTTGAAATAATTCAACTATTTTTGACAAATCATTGGAAAAGGTAATCCGTGTCATTTCTTCAATAAATCTTTTTGCCATATCCCATTTATGTTTAGTATTGGTTTGAGCTAAGATATGTAATGGAAGATTACCATCATTATCTTGATCTCGTAATAATTTTGTTTTGTTTTCCAAGGATAATTTCTCGATAATTTTGTTAAAAAGATCTTCCGAGACTTGTTGTTTAGCACAGATATGTAAAATATTATCGTTATTTAATGGTCCAGTTTTTGTAAGATTTTCTTGTTGATTATTATTTTCATTCTAAAAAATGAATTCGTTCGTGAAAAAACTCAAATTCCGATATCTTACTTCGATCAATTTTTGAACACATTGTTGAGAATTATAAAATATCGCAGTTAATAAAGGTGTATATTTAGTATGATTAGGTTTATTGAGATATTCTTTGGAACCATTTTCGATAAGCCAATTGAAAAGGTTTAGATTGTCATAACGACATGCGAGATGCAATATCTCTATAGGAAGTGATGATGAATCTTTTATAAGATATTTTAAATGATCAAAATATTGAATATCTTTTCGTTGAGCAATGCATTGAAATGTTATTAAAATTTGTTTTTCATCTTTCATATTCTCAACGAAAATCTTCATAAGTTTTTCACGTGCACATTCTTCTTGTTCACATTGATTAGATCCGAATGGATTTGTCATTAATGGATGTAATGCAAAAAATACAAGAGGTGTTTTCTTGTCTAATGAACATTCATTTAATAAATCTTTTCCTATTTCTGATAATTTCGACTGTAAAAAATTTATCATATTGAACAAATCAATAGAATTTGTCTTATCATAAGGAATAAGAGCAAAATGTAATATATTTGCATTCAATTTACTTAAAACCTAAATGAAAGAAAAACAATGAAGATTTGTAGAGAATTCAATTGAATATTTACATCAAGTTTTGCTTTATGTTCAATTAAATCTCGAACATAGGAGAATCGACCTCGCATAACCGCTAAATGTAAAGGTGTACGACCTTCATCATCAGCATGATTAACATCAACTTTAAGTTTATCAATAAGTAATTGAACCATTGAAGTCAAAGATTTGTTTCTTTCTTCCAAATCTGATAAAGATAAAATATGTAAAGCATTTTCACCATTACCAGTTAAAATATTGGCATCTAAATTAATAATTCTTATTTAAAAAGCAAAACTAAAGGTAAATGAAATGAAATACCACATCGATATGATATTGATTTTGATGTTAATTCTTGAACTAAATAATTATTATAAGATTCAACAGCATAATGAAGAACTGTCCATTGTTTTTCATCATCCTGAGTACTAATCATTTTCTTTACACTTGTCTTTGAAAGTGCATCATTTTGAATTTTATTCAGAAAGTTGGCCCATTTTGTATTCGATTTTTCTTTGTTTTTCTCTTTTGCCGCCTTTGGAAAATATTGAAAATCAAAATAGAAATCAATATTTTCATATTACCTCGAAAAGAAGTTCTTTTGCCGATTTATTTTCTGATAAATCATTCGTGGAATTCATCTCGGTCAAATCTATTCTCGTATAGTTAATGTTTCTTCCATACGGCTCGATTGTTAAAAAGAATGAGAATAGAAAATCAACATTATATATTATTGAGAAATTCTCTGGGAAAAAGTATTGTTTGTATATATAGTAAAAAACCCATCCGTAGTGCGTTACTATGGGGAGAGACGATGGCTGTTTTAGAAGTGTTTGTTATGCTTAATTTGGAATTCAGTAACAGAAAATGGAGAAAGGAACAAAGATATTTGCTCGAGAAAAAAAAAGAAACGCCAGACAAGGTTATTTAAATAAAATGAGACAATTTATANTTATTGAGAAATTCTCTGGGAAAAAGTATTGTTTGTATATATAGTAAAAAACCCATCCGTAGTGCGTTACTATGGGGAGAGACGATGGCTGTTTTAGAAGTGTTTGTTATGCTTAATTTGGAATTCAGTAACAGAAAATGGAGAAAGGAACAAAGATATTTGCTCGAGAAAAAAAAAGAAACGCCAGACAAGGTTATTTAAATAAAATGAGACAATTTATACGTGAATTTCAATTTCTTTTAGACAGAGAAAAGTTGAATTCGGTTCTTCAGTAAATTGTGATATATTTGCATCACATGCTTCACTTGTCTTCTTCAAAGACAGACATCCATTTTCCAGTAGTTGAAGTGAATGAACGAAAACGAATAAAATGAGATAGTTTCGCAAGTTCTTGTAGTTCTTCTTCCGTATCGTGATAGATAATGTTCACATTGTCCTTTAAATTTTGACGTAAATATTGATTAAGTAACCAAAAAACACAATGGTCCTAAAATTTTCACTTGTTCTAATGGAGCTGTACTTGATTCTCGTATATTTTTATTAATGAGCCTTTTGAATAAAGATATGAATAGATTTTTCCGCTTTGATCAGGTATAGGGATGTTAAAATCGTCGAAGATATCGTTTGCAGACAAATCTTTGACAAGTAGTCACTGTTCTGTTAACCATTGTTTCCTCCCATTTTTTCTTTTCTTTCATATCTACCTTTTCTAAAACAACGATCAAATATATGCATGTCTTCATCAAAGTATTTCTTACAATACATCCATGTTTATCTCTCATTACATAACATAAATAAAAGTTCACTTTCTTTATTCATCATATAAACATTCGTCTCCTCCACATAATAGTGTAATTTATATCAATATACACTTGCTTCTATTAGAAGACGTCGTGGTTATTAAATAAATTCACACCCTCGACAATTCCTTATAGTAAAAGTCTTGGAAAAGAAACAAGTAAATACGTTTCCACATAGAAATCGTTTAAAGGAATACAATCATAAAGGTTTTTTTTTTTCAGTAGAATGATTCTGGCAAAATGTCGAAAATGTTGATAAACTATAAGCTAGTTTAATAACATTCTTCTTTCTCTTTATTAAGAAAAAGATTGATCTATTCACTGGATGTTATCCCATTCGTTCTTTTTTTAGATTTGTATGTGATAAAGTAAATCTCTTGGATTTCATCGAAGATATTCATTTTTTAAAACAAGTATTTTATATCTCAGACGGAATCTGTTCAAATCTTAACGATAACTTTGATTACTCTTAAATTTCTCATGTATTTCGTTCTTTAGTTCGCAATCAGGTATTAGTACTTACATCAAACTGACGGATTCTATTGAAAATTTTATATGCAATGTTTTTCTATTCAATCATTCTTTGAATGAATTAACTCTATTTCTCGTAAATATTCATATCATCCTTTTTATTGAAAATTTTCAACTTTATCAAAAGCACTTCACTATCAGTTTTATAAGCAGAAACAAATACAGGATAACTTCAATTACTACTTTGTATTTTTTTCTGACGAGATTCGTTTTACACATGAACAGTTGGATATTTTTGGAATTTCCTTATACAACAATTTACTCATAAGCTTATTCGTTCCACAACTGATTGAAAATCAAATGATTATATCATTTCTTCATTATTTTATGTATTTCCAATGATTTTGATCAATATAACTCTAGCTGCGGCAGTTTGACGTATTTAGATATCATTTATATGAAAAACAGCTGGATAGTTCTGTCAGTAAAAACGACGTGATGTTCAAAGCACTTATATTTTTACTTTATTCCAGGGAAAAGCCATGTTCTTTCTTTATTCATATGCTCGTAAAGTACATTTTTTTTTGTCGTAATACTCAGGGACCTCTCTAAATCGAGAGAAAACATGTTCTGACAAACAACCAATCTATCGTGTAAAGCTGAACATCACGGAATCATTTTTCACTCTTTTAATAGTTCCAGAAGCACGATCTATCCTCGATGTGAACACAACAGGTGATATCAGTTAACTATTAGTTGATCTGGAAATGGCGTTTTCAGTAACATTTCCATAATCAGAGCCCGAAACGAGACAGTATTTCATCAACTCTGTTCGGTTTTATATGTTACAATCTCAGTCGATCGTAAGAGGAGCTGTATGTTGAGAATATCCTCTAGTTTTGTGAAGTAAGTCTAATCTGTAGCGTATCAGATTTTGATTGGCCTGTTTCTTACATCAGTATATTTGCTAATATGCAAACAAAAAATACTACAACAGTTCAGAGAAAATTACTTCCAAAATAATGAGAAATTCAGCTAGCTTTAATAACAAAGTTCATAATGGTAATTGCTTTAAGTTTCAAAGATACGAAAGTACGTGAAGTTACAAAATATTCCTCAGAGCACTTGAGAGAGATTTATTGTGATTGAGTAAAGAAAATCAGCACTTGTTTATTCTTGGGACCCATCAGAGTATATACTCTAAAACAAATTAACATTTCACTGAACCGTAATACAGGTTGCGCATCTATTAAAAACATAATGAAATACTTTACAAAGAGTAAAAAATCCTGTTGTACGCCGTTGAGAAAGTTTTTCTCTTTCCCAGGTCAATCACGCACGGGCCGTTTACAACTGCCGTAATAATAGAGGTATTTACTTTGTATTTCCATGTGTCTCAAATCCCATGCGAGATGAAATCCTACTATGGATTTCTTATAGAACATTCTGAAATCTGTCTTTCGTCTTTCGAGATTTCAAGAGGGAGGTATAAATAGATATATCTGTTTTGTATTTCTATATCTCTCACCTAGGATGGGTCCACTTACGGTCTGTATTGCTAGTGTAGTAGAATAATATACTTTATCCTATTCAAGAGTGAACATTGATCATTGAACTAAGCTTAAAGTTCAGAGGAAAAGTAGAGTAGCTTTTGTATAACCATTTAGAAAATATCCACAAGCATTTGTCTGAAAGGAACACTAGCAGAAGAAATCAAGATTCGAAATGTTTAGTGTTCGATCCATTTAATTTGCTGCTTTTCTTTTAACCTTAGATAGAATCTGCTAACGATGTTGAAATACATATTAATATTTCATCTATTCGCAAGTGTTACTGTCACTTTTCATTTATATAACACGGATGTATCAAGTTACAGTGATTACAAAGATTGCTTATATTCTTTTACTGTAAAAAGTGATACCATAGAATGGTATTTAATACCATATTGTATTCAATATAACATGAAAGATTCTGGTCATGATGGTGATGAGCAATGTTATGATAATAATATTTCTACATTTGAAGAATTAAAATCTCGAAGTATCGATAGTCGTCATCTATACGAATGGAATGCACCCATCGATACTATTCATAATTATGAAAAGTATCTTTCCGGTAATGATTTAACATTTGCCAATCATCGTTATTGTAATTGTTCACGTAAGAAAGTCTCATAGATATTTTTCTCTATTAAAGTGGAGATGAATTTCTTCTTGTAGCTAATTGGTTTGGTATTCGATGTCAATATTCGTTTGGTGAAGCAAATGAACAAGTTACATTTGATGAAATAATTATATCTCAATTCAAAAGAAAAAAACCATTATATGATAATTATGAAATTGTTAATCATCCATCGATGTTAACATGTTATGAAGGTCTTCAATGTGACTCAGTAATTTGTCTTGATTGGCAACAGATTTGTGATAGACAAATAAATTGCAAAAAAGGCGAAGATGAACCTGAAGAATGCTTGTTATTAGAGTTAAACGAATGTCAAAATAACGAATATCGATGTCGATTTGGTGGATGTATTCCGAAAAGTTTTCTCATCGATGTCAGCTATGACTGTATGGATCTTACGGATGAAACGACAACATATTATGGACAGCAGAACAATTCTGATTGCTATTCGACGCCTTTGCCAATGTGTGACTTCCATTTATGCAATAAAGATAAATTTTCATGTAGTGACGGAGAATGTATGGCTCTAACTCGCGATTCTGTTTGGTGTAACAATGGTCGTGATTTATTCTTCAATCAAAAATTGCTTTTATCGAGTTTATCCTCGAATGAGAAGAATTCAAGTAAAATCACTGCTGAATGTTGGTTATTAATGTTATGTACGACAGGTAAAAGATATACAGACCTCTTTGGTTATAATTATAGTACGTGTCAATGTTCATTAACTTCATCGGATAATTTGCTATGTGGTGACTACTTTCGAAAACATTGTCCTAAGATGTTTATGTTTCAGACTGTTAACAATTTTCTTTATCCATTTGTTCAATTTCTCTATCAAACTTCTTTGAATGATTCATTACTTTGGTGGAAACCAACACATTTTTGTTACAACCGAAGTCTATGTCGCGCTGTACCATTTACTAGTTCAATGTTCATCAATGATATGATGTGTATCTCGACACAACCTGTTAATTATGATCACCTTCGATGGTTTAAAAATATATTTATTGCATGTAGTACTACTCCGACATCAGCATTGATCAATGACAAACGATTATTCTATTGTAATAGGTCGAAAACATTAATTTCAATATATCGACTCGATGAACAATATGAAAACTGCTATCGTGGTGAAGATTCCTATTATGATGATAATGTCAGACGTATTCTGAATTTAACAGACTATTTTAAATGTCACACAGTTGATCAATGGTGGCCACGTCCATTGATTAGACTAGGTCGTTGTTCAGACAAATCTGATTTATTGTACGTTGGTCAATGTACGACAGCATCTGATTTTGGTTGTCAATATCTTCGCGGTATTTATTCACCACCTATCAACTATATCTNCATAAAATCCAATGTTTCAGACTGTTAACAATTTTCTTTATCCATTTGTTCAATTTCTCTATCAAACTTCTTTGAATGATTCGTTACTTTGGTGGAAACCAACACATTTTTGTTACAACCGAAGTCTATGTCGCGCTGTACCATTTACTAGTACAATGTTCATCAATGATATGATGTGTATCTCGACACAACCTGTTAATTATGATCACCTTAGATGGTTTAAAAATATATTTATTGCATGTAGTACTACTCCGACATCAGCATTGATCAACGACAAACGATTATTCTATTGTAATATGTCGAAAACATTAATTTCAATATATCGACTCGATGAACAATATGAAAACTGCTATCTTGGTGAAGATTCCTATTATGATGATAATGTCAGACGTATTCTGAATTTAACAGACTATTTTAAATGTCACACAGTTGATCAATGGTGGCCACGTCCATTGATTAGACTAGGTCGTTGTTCAGACAAATCTGATTTATTGTACGTTGGTCAATGTACGACAGCATCTGATTTTGGTTGTCAATATCTTCGCGGTATTTATTCACCACCTATCAACTATATCTTTCGAGAAAATTGTAATCATCAAGTTAAATTACTTTATTCGATCGACAATGAAACAGATGAAACAAGTTGTAATGCATGGCCACCGGCCTATTGTGACGGTTACTGGAATGTCATTAATGGAGAAGACGAGCTCAATTGCACAAATACGACTCTGTCTTACATTACACATAGAGTTTTTCAATGTAATTTAAACGAACATTACTGTGTATATTTAAATGGAACTATGGGTTGTTTATCCAAAGAACGTGCAGGAGATGGTTCTATCGATTGTTTGGGAGGAGCAGATGAAAGAGCAATAATGTATGATTCTCACGACCGTATTCATGAATTTTATTGCTCGAATACCGCTCGTCAATTCATAGATGACAGTAATATTGGGTCTTCAGCTGAGTACTTATTAAAAAATTCACTTTGTGATAACATGAAAGACTGTCCTCATGGCGACGACGAATTAATGTGTCAATGGAAAGGAAATGTTACAGGCTCTGAAATATTGGATTTTATGTGCCATAATGGCACATCTATTGATCGTGAACAACAATGCAACGATATTATTGATTGTCACCCAAACGCTGAAGATGAATGGTTTTGCGATCTTTACAAGTTAAAAGATTTGAAATTTGCTCTGAATAAAATCGAAGCATATCCTTCTGTTAATATAGATTCGACATACCTACCGAATATTGCTGGAACTCGATCATACGTTGCATCACGTCCAACTAATGATATTTCATACGAAAGTATGAAACCACTCGATAATTGGTTTTGTAATCGTGGTATTATCGTCAGAAAACGATCTTCTACTGCTGAATGCTTTTGTCCACCTAGTTACTACGGTCGAAGATGTGAATATCAATCGGAACGTTTGTTCGTTATTCTTCGATTAGATAGACCAGTTAGCCTGAGTGGACATCAAAATCAGCAGTATGCTATTCGATTAATGGCTTATTTAGTGCTTGATGATATTGTAATTCACTATCAAGAAATTCTACATGCGACTTTCATGAAACAAATGTTTTATCTCAATTATCCGCGTCCAGCACCAAAACCACGTGGCAACTGGACTGTTCGTCTCGATGCTTTTGCTGTTACNGTTATTCTTCGATTAGATAGACCAGTTAGCCTGAGTGGACATCAAAATCATCAGTATGCTATTCGATTAATGGCTTATTTAGTGCTTGATGATATTGTAATTCACTATCAAGAAATTCTACATGCGACTTTCATGAAACAAATGTTTTATCTCAATTATCCGCGTCCAGCACCAAAACCACGTGGCAACTGGACTGTTCGTCTCGATGCTTTTGCTGTTACCAAATACGATGTCAAATTCCAAGCAGCGTGGTTATTTAATGTTCCGTTTTCTTTCTTACCTGTTAATCAACTTGCCTTACATCTAACATTGAACGATTCAGAAACATGTCGAACATTGTTGTGTATTCATGGCCTGTGCAGAAAATATCTGAATTCACCAAATCATGAATATTGTCAATGTGAAGATAATTGGTCGGGTAAACACTGTAATGTTACAACGACGTGTTCGTGTGCCGAAGGTAGTAAATGTGTTTATGGGTATTTCAGATCGATATGTGTCTGTCCTCTTGGTCGTATGGGTAGTGAGTGTCATGCACGATTTAATCCGTGTGATAATATTCAATGCCAAAATGGTGGAACATGTATGCCATTTGATGAACGCGAAAAGAAGTTTGTTTGTTCATGTTCCGATGAATTTTATGGAGATTATTGTGAATTAAGTCATGCTAGAATTGACATACAGTTTTCATCTTCTCTTTCTTTTCGTGAAAGTCAATTATCGACTGTGATTATTGTTTATTTTCTCGAATTATCTCATGATTCAGATGGTTATTTATCCATTCAAAATCGTTATCTATACAAGCAAGAACAACAATTGAACAAACCACTTCGTATCTTTAATAAAAATCAACAAAATCTGACAGCATTCGTTCTTCTTGAAATCTTTTCTGAACCTTCTATTGTTAATTATTACATTGCGGCAATTGTTAAACAATATTTGACAAACTTGAACACAATAGTCGACCAGTCCAATCGATGTCCATATGTCGATGAACTTCTTCGCAATGAAACCATTCGTCAATTTCCGCTGATAAAAAAGGTCAAATATTATCGATATATTTGCGAAATGGATTTTATTGGCAAATGTTTCCACGACGAAGCCTATTTATGTTTTTGTAACTCAGATCATCAGCCAGATTGTCTCTTTTATCCACATGAGTCAGCACAATGTGCAATTGATTATTGTCAAAATAATGGACGATGTGTACAGAACAATTTCAATGGAGTATGGGACTTTGGCTGTGTGTGTAGTGAATGTACATATGGATCATTATGTCAATTAACAACATCTGAATATGCCTTCTCGTTAGATATGATGCTCGGCCAAGATATTCGCGCAAACGTATCGTTGTCTAATCAGTCTTTCTTCATCAAATTTGTATTGGCACTTTTTATTCTGATGCTATTATTTGGCTTTATATCAAATTTGCTGTCATTNTTCAATGGAGTATGGGACTTTGGCTGTGTGTGTAGTGAATGTACATATGGATCATTATGTCAATTAACAACATCTGAATATGCCTTCTCGTTAGATATGATGCTCGGCCAAGATATTCGCGCAAACGTATCGTTGTCTAATCAGTCTTTCTTCATCAAATTTGTATTGGCACTTTTTATTCTTATGCTATTATTTGGTTTTATATCAAATTTTCTGTCATTAATAATATTTAAAAAGCAACTAAACGTCCAACAGTATGGATGTGGTGTGTATCTCTTTTGCTTACCTATAGTTGGTCAGTTTGGATTGACTGTATTCGTTGGTCGGTTCATCTATGTCTTGGGAACACAGTTGTATAATGTTAATCATCGATCAGCTGCTCGTTGGAGTTGCGTCAGTCTGGAATATTTTCTAAGTACTTGTCCGATGTTATTTGATTGGTTAACAGCATGTGTGGCAGTCGAACGAAGTGTTAGTGTAATCAAAGGTGTCGCCTTTAAGAAGCTCGACAGTGTTTGGTGGGCGAAACGGGTTATTTGCTCACTTCTAATCATTGTTTTTCTCAGCTCTTGGCACATACCATTCATCCATGATATAATCGATGATCCACGAGCAACAGCTCTGCACGTATGGTGTGTTATCAGATTTCCACGGTCATCACTTCGATACTATCGTCTTACAGTGAACTTGATCAATTTAATTATTCCAGGTTTGATTAGTGTCGTCGCCACAGCATTCACGTTGCACAAACAAACGCGCCTTAAACAGGCACTGCTGGCCAACGATTCGAAAGAGAAAGGTTATCTGAAATCATTGAAGAAACAGCTTCCCTTCTATGGCAGCCCGCTTGCATTGGTAGTTTTCAGTTTGGTTCGACTCATCTTCTCATTCACACTAATCTGTATTACTAAGCAATGGCAAAAATATGTCTATCTGACAGCCTATTTTATCTCTTTTACTCCATTGATGGGAACCTTTCCGATTTTTGTTTTGTCAGCCAAGATTTATAGAACAGAGCTTGAAAATTTCCGGAAACAATTAGTTGAAAAATTGCGAGGACCATCGGTCTAGTAACATGGTTAATTTGGTTTCGTTCCATTGATACACAGTTATTTCTTTGAACTTTTTACTTTTTTGTTGTGAAAACAAACCAGGAGAGAGAGGTGAAAACACTAAAAATATCACAACACTCAACTCTCTATTTTAGTGTTTGAAAATCAATAATAGTAAAATTATATATAATTCATTATTTATGCGAAAATTGATGCATCGATGAATTCAAAAGTATTTTTATTCATCGTAATACAGAATACAATTGATTATAATAAACGAAGAAACTTTTGACAAAACAGAACAAGATTATACTCTTTTTTGTTGGCTATGTAAATATTGAAAGAATGTGTCGCTGAAAAGCGATTAGACCAATACTTTTAAAATTAGATTCATTACGATGTACGCGGGTTTCTAGGGTCTATTCTATAGACTATCTGGTATTGACGAGTAGAATTATGTAAATATTATCGATGATCAGATGATTTACTTCCTTTTGAAATCTGTATAAAAGCGTTCAATAAGACTTCTCGTCATTTCACATAATTGCATTCGAAAACATACATTAATATGACTCGAATAAGCGACATGTGTTTTCTTCTTCTTCTTCTGGGACTTCTTTCTACAGTTCACCGTATTCATTCTGATCGTCAACGACGAAAAGCCAATGGATGTGGACCTGGTTATTTCAATATTGACGCTGATTTACGATTAGTAGGTGAGGGTTCACTTATTTCGTGTTGTAATGCTCATGATCTTTGTTATGATACCTGTGGAAGAACACAAACTTCGTGTGATAATGATTTTCGTGTGTGTTTAAACAATACTTGTGGACGATTAAGAGGTTGGTTTGAATGGTGGGCACAAGTTCGTCAATCGGCTTGTAGATTAGATGGAAAAACTCTCTATAAAGTGGTCGATGCAATTGGTAGTTTTGCATATAATAGTGCACAAAAAAAGCATGGTTGTATAAGCGGATAATCACTTACCAAAGAATTGCAATTGCATCTCTTCGAATATTGTTTTCTTTTCAAAAAGAATATTTAATAATATTTGGAAATACTTTTCAACATAATTAGAAAATTATTCAGTGAAAGATTTCTATAAGTTTCTAAGTTTGCTGTACAAACACACGAAAGTTCATCTAAAGATTTTTGAGTGATATTCGAACAAAGAACTCTCGACTAAGAATTTGAAACTACACGTGAAATATATCTCGAAGATTCCAATCAGAGACTTCGCTTCTTCAAAAGTTTGAATTCAACAAAATCTATTTTGGGTACCTAGAAATTTCTGCTTTTGATATAAAGAACTTTCAGTACTCGGAGTCCTGGCGAAAAGTGTACTATACAGTACGTCTATTTGATTGTAGAAACGATTCTGAAGATTTGCTGAATCAATTCATTATAATCGTTGATTATCTTTAACACAAAATTTATTCATTGAAAAAATATGAGAAAATTTCCAAATCTATGCATTTTGTATATGGTTGACTTCTTAGTTTCTAAATAATGATTTCTTTACGTTTATTTGATGAATCACTTTAATTTGCTATTTTAAGCAAAACATCATATTTTCGTTCTCTTAAGAAACGCCCTTTTCTTTTCTTGATATTAAATATAATAACACGCGTCATTCAGTCGGTAAATATAATTTGGTGTATATTGATGCATTTAACAGCCAGTATTTCTTCATAATTACACTGCGTATGTACGTAAATAGTACATATTATATCAGAGTGTTTTAATAGTGAAATTGTTTTCACAAATTTCTTTACATTCATTGAATAATGTCGACTCGTTGTATTACCGCTCTTGCTTTTGTAATCTTAATCCATTTTGTGTCAAGAATATCTGGCCATGCTTATTTTATTTATCCAATTCCTCGAAATATTTATTGTGCAAATTCATCATGTACTTCTAATGGTACATTGGGAGCACAAGGACCAGTTTGGACTTTACCATCCAATAGTACATTGTCGATGACAAGTATAACAAGCCAGACAACT